AAAAAAAAAAAAAAAAAAAAAAAAACTATGGAGGAGTGCCTAAAGCTTGAGAGAAGTTGAGAGCCAGTGGACTATGTACAGCAAGGAATGAGTTCTTTAGCGGGGGACCCTCAATTGAGAGTGCCTAGGTGAGCATCTCGCACCACAAAACTGCAAAATCTTTCTTCAAAAATAGCTCAGCACATCCTAACTCACTTAACTTGATATATAGGGATACAGAAGCTGTCTTGGAGAAATAGAGCCCTCTGGCTCTCAGCTGTGGGGTCTGCATGGCATAACTGCAGACTCATGGGATCAGAAGCATTGCCAGCTCCCTTTGTGAGGTTTGCTATGTATTGGAGTCTCTGGAATGCCAGATAGCGAGCTCCAGACCACAGTGCAGAGGCTGCATGCCATCAGGGATGGTAAACAGGAGATTGACTCCTACTGCCAGGCCCTTTACCCCGAGAAAGAAGAGAGAAGAGCTAGGTTGCCAGCCAGGACAAGGGAGGCCAAGAGGCACTCCCATACTGTCTAGCTAGGGAATTGAACAAAGGTTGTCTCTGGCCGCAAGGCTTACTGCACCAGGGTCACCACACCTCTGGATCTCTGCAACAGGTATGGACCCCTCACAGCACCAGTAGAGCCTGCGGAGCTCCCAGCTTCTGCAAGTGAAGAAGAAACCCAACCAGCTACCATCCCTAAGTGCAATGCAGAGTGGTCTTTGTGGGAGACTACCTCCTGAGGGGGACGGAAGGATCTGCCTCCCCAACCCCTTAGCCCTGAAGGTCTGCTGCCTCCCAGGAGCCCGTATCTGGGATGTGGCTGGGAGGATTCCAAAACTTATCTGACCCCCTGACCAGGGGGGGTTCCAAAACTTATCTGACCCCCATGCTCCTTATTCACATGGGCACAAATGACATGGCTCAGAGCAATCGCAGCTGGGTCACAAATAACTACAGGGCTCAGGATTGGGGACACAGGTGGGGGTTTTTTTTTTCCTCTATTCTTCTGATTATGGGTCATGGGCTGAGGAGGAGAGACAAATTGAGGTAGTAAACAGAAGACTGCAGTGTTGTTGCCATCATGAAGGCTTTGGCTTCTATGACCACATTTCAGACCACTGCCCCTCTCTCTGTTGGGAAGAGATGGTCTCCACCTCAATCCACTGGGGAAGTGGCTCTTCTCGGCCAGAATGGCTGACCTACTTGACTGGGCTTTAAACTCAGCTCGCCGGGGATGGGCAGACAGCCGTCAAAGCAAGCTCACCAAGCATCAACCTCAAAATCAGCAGGTTGGGATGCTCAAGGTAACCCACTCCTACCCCAGCCCAGGAACAAAGCTTCTCCATGAGTGCAAGGAAGCATACTTACTTGCCTGTATACTAATGCCAGGAATTTGGGGGAATAAACAGGAGGAACTGGTCCTTCTGCTAAACAAAAATGACTACAATCTCATAGGAATAACAGAGACCTGATGGGACTCCTCCTATGAGTGGACTATGGGTATAAATGGCTATACGCTGTACAGGAGAGATTGTACTGAAAAAAAGGGGTGGGGGTATAGCTGTCTATGTGAAAGAGAGCTACACATCCCTAAAAACTGAGATTGGCACCCAAGGAGGACAACTGGAGGCCCTCTAGGTTAGAATACGAGGGGACTGTGGTGAAGGGGATACAGTGGTAGGAGTGTACTACAAACCTCCAAATCAGAAATAAGAGCCTGACCATGAATTCGCCAGGGAACCGGGCAAGGCTGCATGCTCTCGGTGCATGGTTGTCATGGGAAACTTCAACTACCTGGACATCTCATGGGAAGAGCACTCAGCCAAATCCGATCAGTCTCAAAATTGTCTCACATGTGTGGATGAGCTCTACCTGTCTCAAGACGCTTATGGGCCAACAAGGAGTAAGGTGCTGTTGGACCTGGCACTGGCCAAAGGGGATGATCTAATCGGTAACCTAAGAATTGAAGGGATGCTGGGTGAAAGTGACCATGAGTTGATTACTTTCACTATCCATCACAAAGCTGGCAAGTCAGCTAGAAATGTAGTAGTTCTCTACGTCAGGAAAGCCGACTTTCATAAGCTCAGGAGGCTTGTTTTTGAGGCCACAATTTGACAGGGAGGGGAGTTCACGATGAGTGGTTGCTTCTTAAGGCAGCAATCCTAGAAGCACAACGAAAGTCCATCCCAACCTGTAGGAAAGGTGGTAAAGGGCTCAGCAACCCCCTTGGCTCTACAGGGAATTCATGGACCTCCTACGTCTAAAAAGAGGGACTTGCAAAGGATGGAAGCATGAATCACTATGTTGAATTTCACATTTTGTGGCATGACTGTCTTTATAAGTCTTCTGACGGCAGGAAGCTTCCAGAGTTTGTACATACCACACCGTGTTCTGGCAGCTCAAACTAATCAGCTGTGCTGGCAAGATGCACAGTGAGCACGGAGGAGCACCAGCTTCCTCCAGTGGTGGTAGCAAGCAGCAGAAAGTACAGACAAAGCCCATGCACATCTTCTATCAGCTACCAGGTGGCAGCAGTAGTCTTTTGTTTCTCACAGTGTTTGCGTTACTCTGTCAGTAGAAAAGGGGGTTCTGGCCATAAAGATGCTATCTATGAGTTTGGGTGCACTTGTACTTTCCAGAAAAATTTAAGCTTCCCAAGTGCAAACTATGGAGTGTAGACCAAACTTGAGAGGAACACCTGCCATTTCCTATCTTTCTGTGTACCATAGTCCAAGACTGCCATATGGTTAGTGACTTGAGGCTGTGTATACACATTCAGATCTAGGAGAATTCTCCCAGGCTTGTTCTCATGGTAGAAAAACTGACCCAGAGCCATATGTACAGACACTTGAATGCTGAAAACCTAGAGAGTAGAAAGCTTGCAATACTGACACTGTGCACCTAGGTGATGTCCCGGTGGACGTATCTCAGTAGGGTCTGCAGGCTCATGTCTGCCTGCCAATAGATGACAGCAATGTATAAGGCAGCCCTGATTGGCTAACCCAGACTGCCCATGGTCAGCCTGTGTTGTCATCACGTACAGACATTCACTTTCTTGAGGAAAAACTCCCTGGGAAGTGATTTGAACCTTGGTTGTGTCCAGGTTGTGTTGGTTTTTTCCCCTGGAGCAGCCAATTTTATTCTGGGAGAAAAAGCCTGAACATTTGTGTATTTGTGGTTTCTCATGGGAGAACAGTAAATCTCAGGAGAAACAGAATGTCTGTACCAGGCCAGAGTTGCATTAGTTTCAGTAACTGTACATCAGGTACAGAGAGTAGTGAGCTGTGTTAGTCTGAGGCTAGTCAGAAGGCAAGGTAGAAGTACCTGTGCTCTGCATTTCTTCTACCTTCATAGTATGGCAGTGCTGAAAACAAATGCAGCTACCTTGACTTCTACCAGTGAAAAATAAACACTAATATCTAAAGTATGTCTTAGTGCTATTTAATCAGATATTTTATGGCTGGAAACCTCTTAACATGATCTTCACAGTGCATAGCTTATCTGTAATATGTGGCTGTCACACTTAAGAGCTCTTAAAAGAAAACAAACTAAAATGAATTAATAGCGTAGTAAGAGAGAATAAAAGATTGACAACTTGTACGCTGTTCTACTTCATGATCTTTCTCCAGTGCTGCCCTTCATGATCAAAATAGTCTCCCTGATTATGTGTATGCTGTAGTCTCTGTGTCCTTATATTCTTTATTAAAACCATTCCCCTTCCCAACATTGTTTCCACTGCATCAGCACAATAAAAGTAGTAATAATAAAACCCTAATGTGATGTTTCCAGTATGCAAGCAATTCACCTCGTGGCTTTATTGCGCTTTCTTTAATCTCTCTCTCTCAACATTACCTACCTTATGTCTGATTTAGAACTTGATTCTGCAAATCCTTATTTAGATAGACCTTACTCAGGTAGTGCTGTTAAGATTGAATTGGGTTTTAAGGTAATAATTTTAAAAATTACTTTATTTTACCAATGTGATAACAGTACTTTGGGTTTTATTACCAAGATTTGGTTTGGTTTTGTGCAGTTTGCTAGTTTATTATTAAACATACATGTCAAGAATGACAGGAGAAGGGGGGCACCAGGGATGGAGCCCTGGGTCCGACCCCTGCTACTACGAAGGTGTTCCCGCCTTTCCT